TTGACTGTTATATTGTTTCTAAAACTTATCATATGATGATATCTTAACTGTTTTGTTGGTTTTGTATATAGGGATCTGTTGCTAATGAGTATGTCTTGAGTCAATCGTCCAACAACAAAGCCGAGATTGACTATTTCATATTGATTTGACGTCATGATCAAAGCCAAGAAACCTCTTGAGACATAAACAAATTCTCTTGCGTTGCTCATATTTTTACTTTAGCAATCTAAGATGTTGTCTAGAAGTGTTATATATTTATTTTTCAACGAATTATATAAATGTTTGTCTAATCAAATTTTGGTTTTTTTTTTGTTGTTCATTAAAAATAACATAAGTATATTAACGTGATAAATATAAATTCAGGCTTTTAAATTTTGATCGTAAAATAACTCTGAAGTACCAAATTCGAATTATGTTATATAATTTAATATACACAATCGTGATATGCAATATAACTATTTTTTTTTTTCGAATGTGGATACTTAAAATATATAATCCTGATTTGCTCTATCTAACAGTGATTTGCTGTTACCTCAATATATACCAGCAAGATTGGATTAATTAGTAGGTAATAAAAAAATAATCAAGTAATCTATACTACTAAAAGAGAATACAAAACTAGCTCTTTCAAATTATAAGATGTTTTAGAGATTTTTTTGTTTCAAAATATAAGAAGTTTTATAATTTTCAATGCACATATTAAATGTAATTAACATTTCTGACTATTTATATTCTGCAGTCTCTCTTATAATTGGTTGATTTTTTAAAAATGAAATATTAAATGATAGTATCATTTAAAAAAGATTATGGTTAAATTTATTAAAAAAAACAGGTTGGTGCAAAATTGACCCAGTTTCAATAAACTTTGACCCAAACATTTAATCCCACATATATTCAGTCAAAAAATCTGATACAAATATTTTAAGATTCAGTTTGTTATAATATTTTCACAAATTTTGAAATATAAAATGAAATTTTATTTCATAATTTCTAAAAAACGATATTAGATATTAACAAATATTTATATTTACTATGAATTAAACTTAAATAATAATAAATTTAAAGTAATTATCATTATGACCTTCGTTTAGAGGAGGTTTCGGAAATATCTAAACAATAGATTGTACATATTAATTTCGAAATATTTTGTGTTTTAATTTTTCCTTTTCAACCGAATGTTCCTTAAATAAATCTCTATTATATTGCACACAATTTTTGAAATAATATAAATTAATTATATATTTTGCATTCAAAACAAATTATGCAGCAATAGTAGATCTCTTTTATAGATGTATCTCAAATTTTTATTTTTACTCCAAAAATCGAATTAATTATGATTAAACAATGAAAATAAGAATATAAAAAATTTAGCTGATGAAAAAAACATTAAAAAATTTGTTAAAATATATTTGCAACTTTAATATCATCTATATTATTAATTGGGAATCACTCAAAACTAACAAACCTTATTTTGGTAGATTAATTACAATGAATGCCATTAGAATTATTGAATTTAAAAAACAAAAGAAAAAAATTCGAAATATATATATATTTTGTTGAGCATTTTTATTTTGGTCAAAAATATATATTCAAAAAGTATATATATTTATTTTGTTGGAGCATTAACAATATATATATTCAAAAAGATTTTTTCTGTCTTTTCTATCTAAAACTCAAACAAACTAAATTTACTGTTATGATTTAATAAGGTTTCCATAAAAATTGACAATAACAAATTCGAAATAATAAAAATAGAAAATACAAATTTTTACGATTAAATCAAATCTTAAATTAGTTTACGAAATCATATCACAACAATTATTATACTTGCCAAATATAACTCTAATTATAGATTTTTTTTAAAAATCAAGCATATAACTCAAATCTATATTTAATAATTAATACTTTGATTCGCAAACATATTGTTAAGATTATAATAGTGTGTTAACCCTAAATATTGAAACTTACTTTTTGAACGGGATGGGATGAGAATTCTTAAAAAAATATCGTATAAAAAATTACAATTAAAATAAAACATTGCTTGCAATCATATATTTAAAATGTTTCTTTCAATTTATCTAGCATAGCATGTGCCAAATAAAAGATTTTGGAACGGGTAAAGTTTATTTCGTGATGTAAATTAAAATTTGGGTATTTTCTAAAACATAATAGTGAAATATTGAGAATATAAAGAAAATACGGATAACTTCAACTAATTATGTAAAAATTAAATACCTAAACGAAAATACATAAAATACGAGTATTCCATCCGAATCCTAGACCTACACGATATACAATCACAAACGAGTAAATTAACGCTTATGTGATTAAATGTGTGTGGTAGATATGTGACCATACGGATTTTCTGCCTCGAAATTGATATGTCTATTTTCTCTCTCTTTTTAATTATGTAATTGTCTTTACTGTAACTAAAAACAAATCCGATTAATTATTTTATCTAAACCAAATTGAAACTAAACCGAATACCAAACTGATATGAAGTAGGATAATGAATGTTATACCAAATAAATACATCTACAAATATAACTCCGCACGAACGTGCAGGTCCGAATCTAGTTCTAATCAATCACGTCAACATCATTAGGAATTTCCGACAAGTGATGTGTGTAAAGGTCTTGCTGACAATAAAGTTGACTTTTTTTTTTTTGGTAGAACAACAATAAAGTTGACTTTAAATGCTGAGTAATTATATTTAATATTTACGAGACGATTTAAAGAGATGACAAAAAAAAAAAGAGACACTTCATAAAGAGCTTAATTAGTTAATGGGTCGAAACAAAGATGAATAAAGTTGTAAGAGCAACGTCATAGGTGATACTTAAAAGTATTATCATTAAAAAAAGAAACGCGTGGATTGTTGTTTTGAAAATTGTTAAAAATAAATTATACTCTTCTTTCTTGCTAATTTATGTAGTTATAATTTTTATGGTTAGATTTATTTTTGACTCGAAATATCAATTATACATTTTACATATATAAATCTATTTATCTATATACATAATATTCTAATTTTTTTGTACTATCATAAATACATACAACAAAAATATATGATATATTGATACAATGGTATGTAATTATGTTATATAGTTTGAAACTTGCCTAACTTGATTATAAACAAACAATTTCTTGTTCTATGTACTCACTCGTGAACTATTACTCCAACCACGCACATCATAATAGGCTCATGATTAGATACTACTGAAGTGACATAATTTGAACAACATATGTAAAACTAACTATTCATTTGCTCTAAGAGTTTTCATATGAAAAGAGGAAAAAAAGAAAGCAAAATATTGTAGAGTCATTTAAGTCAACATTTTTAGATCTCTATCCTTGTATTTGCATATATCTGAGAGAATTGTCGTGTCTTGAATTCTTTGGTATGTCTAACGTCTCAAAAGTCTATTACTTGAATAAACTTGCATGTCATTGTCAATGTTACCAACTTACCAGAAGATAAAAAAATGAAAATAAAAAAGATTATATGATCGTATATGAATCACAAAACATAATAATAAGAAAAGTTTCGAAGTAAAATACTAAACTAAGAAGAGATTAGGTAGCAAACATTTAAATTGTAAATTTTGTCATTATCGAATAATGACTATTGATAAAAAAAATAGTAAAATAAAGAGCGTATAATAAAAATAGTAGTTGAAACATTAGCAAGATTTTTTACTTTTTAATTTTATTTTATCTGAAGAAATCAATTAAAAGTGTTATTGATGGAGGGTTTAATACAATTGAGGACTTTTGATTTTTTTTTTCACTTAATTTTGTTAATTTTATTTATTTAATTAATGCAAAATGACACATGTCATTTTTTTGTGTGATGATGTGTCACTCATATGGACGGAGTTGGCCAACTTTCATATATATGATTTTTTTAGTATTATTTATAATGTTTGTTTAATGTTTTTTTTTCTCCTGTTTTTGACAAACGCGACCAATCAGAAGATGTCACATCAGATGATACTGGTATCAAAAGTATCACTGGGCTGATACTGATCAGGCCCATTCTAATTGTTTTGTCCATATAAAAATAATTTCTGGGCTTGTGATACTCTAAAAATATCACACATGTACATGGTCTTAATTGTACTTTAAATGCTGAGTAATTGAGTCCGATTGGTAACCAAAAGCTGTACAAGTTTTTTAGCTGTTAGCTGGAGCTCTTAGCTTTACCGGAATAGTGCAAAACTGTATGAAAGAGCTGTACGAGAAAGCTATAAAAAAAGCTGAGAGTAAAACTTTTAGTAACGCTTTCGATAAAGTTTTTGTGATTGGTAAAAATAAAAGCGGTACAACTTGTAATACTTTTATTGTGTTCACCAATCAAACCCATTATATTTAATATTTTCGAGACGATTGAAAGAGATGACAAAAAAAAATAAAAGAGACACTTCATAAAGAGCTTATAATTAGTTAATGGGTCGAAACAAAGCTGAATAAAGTTGTAAGCATTGTACTATCTGTTTTTAGAAAAATTTTAATTCAAAATTAATGTTTTTTTCAAGATTTCTATCACATCTCACGAATTTAGAACCGAAAATTTCGTAAGATTTTCTCAATTTATTGATTTACTATAGGCATACCGCATATACAGTATATTAGGCTAGTAAATATGAATTTGGAGGTTGTTATATAAATTTAGAAAGAAAAATCTCAAAGAATAACTACACAAGGATATTGACATAATTCGTTGCCAAAAAAAGGAGGATACTAACAATTTAACATAAATCGAGATTATCAAAATAAAAAAACATAAATTGAGTTGACGTAAACCTAGTCAGAAATAATAAAAGTTATACTCTGTTTGAAATTTTTTAAAGTAAAAGTATTGAGTTTTTAGTATTGGTCCTTTCCTAGGAGGAAAAAGAAAAAGAAAAAGAACATGTCTTTTAGACTTCAACACTCCAAACCTTTGGTCTTCTTCCTCACTAAGTATTTCTTTATCTTCTCATTCTAAAAAGCTAGGCATGTGAACAAAAAAGTTGAGAGGTCTTGAGATTTGCAGAAACAGAGTTTTTAAAGATGCAGCAATTATGGGTAGCAAAAGAAAACAAGAAGAAAGAGAGAATCGTCAAAGGAAGCGATCTACTCGATGTTGTCTTCTCGTGGTCTGTTCTTGATGTACTAAACTCAAATCTTTACAAGGGAAAGGTTTTGTATTCTTCTGACTCTTGTCTTTACTTAGAAACATAATTTATTTTGGTTGCGTTATAGATTTTGTGTTCTTGGTTATTAGGTAGAGAAGATTCCTAACACATTCCCATCAACCAGAGAGTATTTGGAGTCATTTGTTAATCCACTGATCGAGGAGACACATGCTGCTTTGTTGTCAAGTATGGAAACGTTACGCCGTGCACCGGCTTTCAAATTTCGGGAAATCAAGCCAGCCAAAGATTTTAAAGCTCCCAAGAATCTCTATTATGAGGTTACTTTGGAGATAGTGCTTGATAATACCACTAATGGAGCTAGAAAGCAGTTAGAGGTCAATGATCTTATTGTTGTGACAGATAAGAGGCCTATTCGAATCGATGATTTGAGATGTTCCAATGAGCCTTACTTGCTGGCTCTTGTTTGCCATGTGGATGAAGATTTTCCACATTTGATAACTATTACGGCTTCAAAACCAATCATTTATTTTGAGGACGTCTACACGAAAACGAAAAAGAAAGGAGAAGTTGTGAGGAAACACCTAAGCCTCTATGGGGTTTATTTGATCAACATGATGACCAATATTCGTATTTGGACCGCGTTGCATCCAAATCCAGAAGGAGGAAACTTGAACCTTATTTCAAGAGTACTTCAAAGCAACAATGAGGTAAATAAGTTAAGTTTTGTGTTGCACAAAAAAAAAGATATGTTTTTGAAACAGAATCAAAATTGTGTTTTGAAATCTTCTTCTTGTGTAGGTTGATGGAGGAAGTTGTGTTGCCTGTAAAGAAAACAGTGAGAGTGTAGTGTCACATCACTTAGCGCTAATGCTACGTTCATTTAAACTGAATTTATCTCAAGAAGAAGCGATTTTGCACTGTCTAGAAGCTAGAAGTTGCTACCATTGCAACACTATCAAACTTATATGGGGACCACCGGGCACGGGGAAGACGAAAACAACGAGTGTTCTGCTTTTGAACCTTCTGAAAATGCGATGTAGAACATTGACTTGTGCTCCAACTAACATAGCTATTTTGGAAGTTTGTTCAAGGCTTGTGAATTTAGTCTCTGATTCATTGAGGTTTTATGGATATGGTCTTGGAGATATAGTGTTGTTTGGAAATAAAGAAAGGATGAAGATCAAAGAACGGGAGGATCTTTTCGATGTCTTCCTTGATCGCCGAGTTGAGAAGCTTGAAAATTGTTTTCTGGCAGTGACTGGATGGAGAGCAAATGTAAACCTCCTGATCTGTTTGCTCAGTGATCCCAATGAAGTGTATAAGCAGTACTTGGTCAACAAGGAATGTCAGGAGAAAGACAACAAATATTGCGTAAATGAAACCCGTCTCTCGTTTGCGGAATTTATACAAGAGAGGTTTAACATACTAAGAAATGAGCTGCAGAATCAGTTTCCAACTTTGTGCCTGCATTTACCAACTGCTCTACTCTCCTTTCGAGTGGCTGAGAAAATGTATCAAGCTAACGATCTTCTCAGAGGATTCGCAATTTCAGATGTCATGGTTAGTGGTAAGTCTTGTCATGGAAGACTGAAAGAAAATGGCAGATTTGAGATTGATACAAGAAAGCAAGACTGTGTGAAGATGTTAACATCAATTTGTGAAAGTATCGAACTTCCGGATTTCTTAGGAAAGTTTACTCTCAAAAGACTCTGCTTAGAACACGCATATCTGCTTTTTTGCACAGCATCAAGCTCTGCTAAGTTACACATGAGTAGTCCAATACAGCTTCTTGTGATTGATGAAGCTGCTCAGTTAAAAGAATGCGAATCAGCGATACCTTTGCAGCTTCCGGGACTTCAACACGCAATTTTGATCGGTGATGAGAAGCAATTGCCTGCAATGATTCAAAGCAAGGTTAGTTTTGTTACTAATTGTTATACATATTCACTTTCTTCTCTTTGCTTACTAAACCAGTTATGTGCAGATTGCTTCAGAGGCTGATCTTGGGAGGAGTTTGTTTGAAAGATTGGTGTTGTTGGGGCATAATAAACAATTGCTGAACATGCAATACCGAATGCATCCGTCGATTAGTATTTTCCCGAACAGAGAGTTTTACGATATGAAGATTTTGGATGCTCCTTCTGTGAGACTGAGAAGTTATGAGAAAAAGTTTCTTCCTGAGAAAATGTATGGACCTTACTCTTTCATCAACATAGCATATGGAAGAGAACAGTTTGGAGAAGGATATAGTTCGAAAAACGTAGTGGAGGTCTCTGTTGTGGCTGAGATAGTGTCAAAGCTTTATTCAGGTAAACAAATTTTGATTCATATCAGTCTTATAAGTAGAGTTTGATGTTGATTCTTGTTTTGTTATGTAATCTTTAGTATCAAGAAAGACGGGAAGATCGATCAGCGTAGGTGTTATTTCACCTTACAAAGCTCAAGTGTTTGCAATCCAAGAAAGGATAGGCGAAAAGTATAATACCGAAGGGACATTCACAGTGAGTGTTAGGTCCGTAGATGGGTTTCAAGGCGGCGAAGAAGATATCATTATAATCTCAACTGTCAGGTCTAACGGTAAAGGAGCAATCGGTTTTTTATCTAACCAACAACGAACTAATGTAGCACTCACTCGCGCGAGGTATCTAAACACTTTCTCATTCTTTGATTTAGCCATTCATGTGAAACTGTTTTGTTCTGTTCTTGGGTCATTTACTCTTTGTGTTTGTAGGTATTGCTTATGGATTCTTGGAAACGAGGCGACTTTAACGAACAATAAATCAGTGTGGAGACAATTAGTAGATGATGCGAAAGCACGAAACTGTTTCCATGATGCAGAAGAAGATGAATCATTAGCTCAGTGTATTGAAAGATCAACAACAGCTCTTGATGATCTTAATAAGCTTCAAAACAAGAAGCTTATTTCCTTTGAAAATTCGATATGGAAGGTTTGGCTTAGCAATGAGTTCTTGAAATCTCTGGAAACCTTCGTAGACTCGGAAATTAACAAAAGGGTTATGAGTTTTCTGGAGAAGTTATCTAATGGGAAAGAGCTGCTTCAACAAGAGGATGAGATTGAGAGTGAGTATCTGTTGAGACAAGAGGAGATTGATGATGGCTTAAGCCTTATTTGGGCAATAGACATTTTCAAGAAAAATAATCATCATATCCAAGTTTTGAAGATCTGGCAGGTTTTGCCATCTTCTGATGTTTCTCGCGCCACGGAACATCTAGAGAAACATTACAAGCGATACACGAAAGTCAAGATAAAACGGTGTCGATACATATGCTCTCAAGGGTGAGTTAGTTGAATTTTATGGCGTTAATTAGACTGAAACATGAGACATTTATGTTTTTATGTTTTCATATTGATGCAGAGATTTAGTTGTACCAATGCGATGGCCGGTTGATTCCAATTCTTGCTTAAAGAAGGACATTGTAAACGACGTTTCAAGATCATTTGCATTGCTAAGTGTTGTGGAGGAAGAAACTGTGACTCCCGAACCAATCAAGTAAAGCTTCTTTGATAAGTCTTTGTGATTTCAGGAGTTTCATATAAAAGCAGTTTCCAATTATATTCTCTGTTTATTTGTTTTGTAGGAAACAAGTGAAGCTAAAGAAAGTGTGGAAGATTAGAAGAAAGGTTCAACTTTCAACATCTAACTCCAAAGATCCTAAGTGAATTTTGACTGTTTCTTTCTTAAAAGCAGACAATTTGGTATTCCTTTTGGTCTTTTAAAACAATGTATGTCTGCTTCTTTTGCGTTCTGTTGTGACTTTTTTCTTTCTCCATTATCTTTGCCATTTGTGTCAGAAATACTTCAAGTTAACTATGATTATCGATCACGTGATTCATCTTAGATCATAATTTTTTTCTCCACTATAAATCTTAGGCCTGGGCGTTCGGATATTCGGGTTGGGTTCAGGTCGGGTTTTTCGGGTTCGGATTTAGAAAACTAAGTCCCGTTCGAGTATTTTAAAACTTCGGGTTCGGGTCAGGTTCGGATCAGATATTTCGGGTTCGGATTCGGGTTTACCCAAAGTATCCAAATATTAGAAATTTTGTATCCGATTCTATACAAAGTATTGAAAAAACCCAAAATCTATAAAACGCAAGTATTTTATACCCGAATCTAGCCCAAATTAGCTAAAACACACGAAAATATTTTAACATCTGAATAATTTAGGCAGTTAGGTTACTACAAGTATAAATATTACTAATAAATTATAACTATGTACTTATATTTTGGGTATGTTCGGATACTTGTTCGGGTTGGGTTTCGGGTCGGGTTCGGGTTCGGGTTTTCGGGTTGTGAAGTTTAGAACCCGTTCGGGTATTTTAAAACTTCGGGTTCGGTTTTTTTGGGTCGGGTTCGGTTCGGTTCTTCGGGTTCGGGTATTATGCGCAGGCCTAATAAATCTTATGCTATTGCATTAAAGAGATTTTGTAAGGAGTCTCAAGCTTGGTATCATGCTTCTTCATCTGAATTCTCCATAAATTGTATGGATTACGCATTTAGCGAATGGTTGTTTGTACTTCTTAAATCACTATACCCTCTTTGGGATTTTTCCTTTACGTATACAACGAAGTTGATTACAACTTTTGGATAAGTTCCATGGTGGCTCAAGAAACTTGTTAAACAAGGTATCAGTGACTGATGCAAAGTATCAGCCCGAGTGTGGAGACCTCATTGCCCTGTCAAATGAAACCTCTGCTGCTTCTTGCCCATGTATTCTCTGTTGACCGGGACATACTTCTCTTGGTTTTGTCGCCTTGATCGATATCTCCTGACAAAGGTGGAAACTTGACCCTCATCAAGACTGTTCTTCAGGGAAAAATTGTAAGTAGTTTGATGGTTTGGCTCTGTATATACGATGTCTTTAATTTATATTGTAGGCTTCAATAATATGTAGATAACTTTTATTTCAGGAAACAGAAGAAAGAGTATCTTTTCTGTCTCTGGGAAATGATGTTGTTGTTCTTGACCATGTATTGACCGTGTTCCTCAAAATTGAATCAGTCTCAAGAAGATGCGATTTTCAGCTGCATTGCTTCAAGAAATAACATGCTCAAAAGTATTGTAGTAAAACTGATTTGGGGTCCTCCTGGTACTGGAAAAACAAAGAGTGTAGCAATGCTTCTCTGCGCTTCTAGAGTTAAAATGCAAAACATTAGTGTGCCTTGATGAACACGGCAGTTGTGGAACTGGCGATAATTAGGCTGCTGAGTTTAGTTCTTGATTCTTCATAGCATCTTGCTCAAGGAAACATGGGTTTCTCTCAAAACGACAATGACCTTCCCTGTGCAAACACAGACACTAAGTTTGGCTGCTGGGTATCTCTTTGCCCAAAGCGATAATTAGGCTGCTGGGTTTCTCTCAAAGCGACAATGAGCAAACATGGCACTTACACGAGCTACGTACTTGCTTAGTAATAAATTATTGTTATCATTGTTAAGAGAGATGGATTAAAGATATGATTAATTTGGTTTTAATAAAGTATGCTGCAGCCATAGTTTTTTTTTTTTTTTCCAATGTTCTTTTCATGCAAGATTATGAAGATGATCGAAAGTCTTAAGTAAAAGTTAGAGCTTACTGATCGAGAACTAATCTTGTTGTCGGTGCTTGTGCTTATAAAGACTCAGTCATAGCATTGTGGGTATGAAAATGAGGAACTCAATGTTTGATACCAATTTGTTAGATATATAATAGTCATTATGCTGAAGAACATACAAAAGATCCTCACGATCAGGCTGACATATGTAAGCAATCTTTTGTATATTCATCTACTAGTTTTAGAGAATTTCTCTCGCTAATGCCTCCTTTAATTTATAGGAGACTAGAATATATCAAAATGCATATTGCTATTGTCTAACATATATGCTTTGGTCTTCATCTAAATGGTTGTTTCAATAATTCTAAACAAACAAACAAATACTGCGAATCATGTAGTGAATCTTCGTCTAAATTACATTACATAGAGCAAGTTATCCAACCATTAAAAAAAGAAAGTTATCCAACCATGCATGTAGTAAAAATTTGCTATTAAGATTTACATATATTATAATATGCATATAAACAGATTGGGTCGGGAAATTACAAATTACCGAGCGTCAATGACTGAGAGAGTGATTTGGTTCACTGAACATTCATCGTCGCACTGTGTACTTGAAGAAGAGTCAGCCTCAAGAGGTCTTTTCCCAATGCAAAAACCAGGACGTTTAGGCTGAGTAATAGCCGTAGTTTCGCTTCCAAGCATCACCATTACCGAGGACATCTCTGGTCTGTCTTCGGCTCGTTCTTGAACACACAAGAGACCAATTTGTATACACCTTAAGATTTGTGTCCGGAACGTTGATGATGAAGAATCTATGTTGATCCGATCTACAATCTCTAGCCCTTTTCCTTCCGTCCAATGCCTCCACACCTGTGCATAAAGGATGTAATGTTTCCTTAGTATTATAATCAGATTATGAGTTCAAAACAATATCGAATTCAAGCGGTTCTTAGCTTACAAAACTGAGGAGATTAAGATCATGGTTCGAGTTGTAAAATCCTTTATTTCTTTTGCCACTTATAATCTCCAGAAGCAAGACCCCAAAGCTGAAAACATCCGACTTCATCGAGAATATCCCGTCCATTGCATATTCTGGAGACATGTAGCCGCTACATAACGAAGAATTAACTCATATGTTATGATGTTTTAAAAAAAAATTGGATTTGATTAAAAGGCCCTTTATTTGTTGTTGGAGAATGATTGCTTACTAAGTTCCGACCACCCTCCTTGTATTAGCTTCTGTCTCCTCCCGTCCGAAGATCCTAGCCATCCCGAAATCCGAGATCTTCGGAGTCATATTTTTATCAAGCAATACGTTACTTGCTTTCAAGTCTCTATGGATAATTCTACACCGTGAATCTTGGTGAAGATATAGAAGTCCTCTAGCAATTCCATTGATAATATCAAATCTCTTTTGCCAATTTAAGTTAGAGCGTCGTGTTTTATCTACAAATCAAACACAACCAACAACGTGTTAAATTTTTCCCAAAGATGTTCAATTATTAGAACATAAGCTGTTTTGAGTCACTAACCAAAGAGATGAGAGTCAAGGCTTAGATTCTCCAAGTACTCATAGATCAACATCTTCTCACCCTTCTCGACACAACAACCAAGAAGCCGGACAAGGTTTATGTGCTGAAGCTTTGCAATTAATCTAACCTCGTTCATGAACTCATCGGTCCCTTGTGAAGACATTTTCGATAGTCTCTTTACCGCGATATCTTTTCCATCAAGTAACCTTCCCTGTTACCACACATTTGATCACACATTTGATTATACAATGAAATCTTGTGCAGTGATAGATTTTCAATAAGTTTTGGATTACTTTTACCTTGTAAACAATACCGAAACCACCTTGTCCAAGCTTGTTGTCGTTAGAAAAATTGTTTGTTGCCATGGCTAGAGCTTTCAACTCCATCATTGGGAGCTCTAGATACTCTGTTTTATTTTCTTTGGATTTGTAAATCCTGCTTGATATTACCACTTCGTTCATTAGCGAATCTTGGCTTCTCACTTGATCAACTGTTTCATTCAGACACATAAAAAGAAAAACAACTAAGACATTTGATTAACAAAAATTTAAGTAAAAAATAAAGGAAGTTAAAGCTATTGATTTACCAATAGGTGTTTGAATTGCTATTGATGGCTTCGGCTTCCTTTTCCAAAAATGGAAGATGATGAAACTTAAAAGAAGCAAAATGCTCACTCCAATACTCGAACCTACGATTTTTTCATTTCTGATTCTCTTGTCCTCTGCAATAAAGATGATAGCACAAACAAAATAATTTTCTTCTACTCCAAAGTAAACTTTGTTGTACTTACGTACTTTTGATCAAATATTATACGATAACACAAACAAAATAATTAAACCTAAACATTTTCGGTATTGGATCTAGCTTAAGCCATACTAATCATTTTCTATATAAGTTTTTCTCGATATTCAACTATTTTATCCTAGTATTTAGTATCTCTTCAAATAATAAACCTAAAAAACAAGACCAAGCTTCAACAATATACTTTGTGGACCATATACTCTTTAGATTCATAAATTGGGAGTTTAAATTGCGCTTGGAAAGTAACAATATTACATGATTTAGTCAGCAGCTTGACAAGACGGACCTTGGTTTAGAACCTCTTAGTCAACAAAAAAAATAAAATAAAAATACTTTAATTAAATGCAAAGGAGATAAAACTAACCGAGATCAGCAGCGGCTATTCTAACGTAAAGATCCTGACCTCCCTGAGCATAATTTCGAATATCCAACAGCTCTCCGGTCCAAATCACACAACCTGACCCGCCATTCCGAATATCCGTATTAGCAAACGCCGTACAATTACAATCTTTTAGACACCTCTCTTCACATTCTTTCAACCCAATTCCTTTGTCCACAATTGTCGTCGTAGTATCTGGCAGTCTCATCTTCTTCAACCGCACAAACCCATCTCTACCATCACAACTCAGATTCGTCTTCCTCACGCAACCAACAGAATCATCTCTCAAAGCCACTTGATCATTCATTGGCTCAAACCCTTTGATACAATTACAAACCGGTGAACTGTTCGCATCGCAATAACCGTAGTTCCCACACTCTTTGTAGTTATCACATAGGTCCTTTGGTGAGTACCATAACTGTTTCCAACTCTGTGCTGCCTCCATCCAAGTTAATCGTTGTAATAATCCCGTGGAGCTTAGGCTTAATATCGAGTAAATGTTGGTTTTGTTGACTCGGTATGTGTAAGCCACTTCTTGATTACTCATAGTAAAATTGTTAACTATGTAATCAAGTGCCTTCGTCCCTGGTACGCTGCTAAAACGATTTCCGATCCATGGACCGCTCCGGTATGTTATGGACTCTCTATTGCATACGTAAAACTCAGGGAAACCGCTGGTTCGGAGTTTAATCGAGAAATCGCCGCTTGATGGATCATCTGTGGTTTTCCAAGATCTCAATAATTTGCTATATCCGGTTTTGTTATCCCATCCCAATTTCATCTCCGATAGTAAAGTATCAGTCGGAAAATCGAAACTCTGCCACAAAAACCCACTTGTATCGTTATTTTTGGAGTCTCTAAGCACGAAGTTACCGTTATCAAGAAGCTCTGCAACAACTGGTGATCTCACATCTCCTCCGGTTATATTCGTCGACCAAACTGGTCCATCGGATTGATCGAAAATGACGAGGTTATTGCCGGATATTTTGAGAGTTCCGTTGGAACTAGAGAGAGGATTGTCTCTGTTTGCAACCCATACGTAGGTTCTTATAGGGATTATCTTGAACCATATCCCGAGATACCAACGCGAACTTGAGGCGGGATTGAAGAAACCGAGCTCGAAGATTTGATTAGGGGATATAATGGTTTTGTTGCTTGAGATAGTGAGAGATTCTGTGGCAGAAAAAGTGTTTGCAAAAACAGAGAAAGCAAGAAACAGAATTAAGATGATGAAGATGTAAGAATGGTGGTAGTTTTGTACACTTCTCATCATATCTCTCTAGGACACTTTCTTGTGTTCTGTTTTATTTTTCTTCTTGAGGAAATTGTATGTACATATATTGAGAATTTTTATCTTTGACTAAATCAGACAATGTGTTGTATTAAATGTGTGAACGTTATTTTACACGATTTCTCTCTATATTATTGTTGATAATATTTCATTTTCGACTTTATTTTCCGGGTCTTCTTGTTCGTATTTGAAATATCTATAGACTAGATGTCACTATAGTGTTGACCTAGAAAATAAAAAGAAATAAAATTCGTTACATTCACAATTATTTATCAGTGTGTTTTTGTAATTTCGTAGTTACTCACCTTTCTTCGTTTACTCCAAAAATAATATCGTCAACCCTTTGTGTGTGTGTGTGTGTACGAGAATTATATAAAAATTTTATATTGCTGGCGACATGCTAAATGGTATATGGAAGAGAATACTTCTTCACCGATGAATTCAAAAAAGGATGATTTCGATTTGTTTCATAAAGTCCTCTGTGGTAATTGCCATAAATTAAGTTCTACGTTCGCTTCCTACAACTTTTCTTAAGCAAACATTGCCTCAGGCACAACAGCAAATATTAATTGCGTTTTGGTCTCACACCAAGTTTGCTCCTGCTTTCTTCAACTCTTGGAGTAACAACTCCAAATCTTTCATTTTGAATTCTATCTTCATATTTTCCTTCATTTTTGGTCTTCGTCTAAATGGTTGTTTTAATAGTTCTCGCTATAAATCCAAATCATGCGAAACATGTTGTGAATCTTTGTCTAAATTAAATTAGATATATAGAGCAAGTTATCTAATCATGAAGTAGATTTTTTTTTAATTAGACTTACATATAAAATAAGGGAAAAATCTCATAAAAATCTTCAACTTTGCATTTCCGTTGAAAAGAAAAAAAACCTCAACTTTGCATCAGGTAAAATTAATAACCAACTTCTTATTAACTTATACAATAAATAAACTGAAAATTACCTAGTTTGACTCAAATTTAGAGAAAAATAACTAGATTAACACCCAAATATTGTGGTTTACTAGAATAACACAAATTTTGTGTTAAAAGACCAAATACCCATTTTATTTTCAGTTCTATTAAAATAAAATAATTAAATTAAATAGAAAATTAAAAAATACAAAAAAAAATTATAAAACCAAAAAAAAAACGAAAATTGAAAAAAAAAACGAAAAAATACAAAATGAAAAAAAATATATAAATTAAAAAAAAATTAAAAAAATAAAAAATCAAAAAAACAACTACCCATTTTATTTTCAATTCAATTAAAATAAAATAATTAACATATAATAACTAAATTAAATAAAAAATTAGAAAAAAAAATTACAAAACGACAAAAAATATAAATGAAAAACAAAATACAAAACAAAAAAAAATAAAAACAAAAAAAAATTTAAAACAAAAAAATAAATTAAAAAACGAAAAAATATCTTTATCATATATTAACAACGAGACAGCCACACATGAGCCATCTATTATAAATAAGTCTGTCGTGATAAGAATATGTCTCTCATTACCTTATTGTGCAGATTAAAATTTTATTTTCAAAAAAGTCTGTCGTGTTTAAAAAGTATGTCATGTAGTCCATCATGAAAAGTCTGTCATCAAATATGTATAAAAAATCTGTCATAATATGAATTAAAATTAAAATCTGTCATTGCGTAAAACATATCTGCCATCACTATATGAAGTCATTCCAGCAATTTCTTTTTTCATCACTAAATCTGTCGTAATGTGACAGTTTTTTTTGAACTAATCCTAAATCTGTCGTAATGTAAATAAAATCTGTCATCACATAAATATTTCATTTGCGATTGTATGTCAATCTAGCATTTTTTTTTTTTGTATGACAAATCTGCTATCACTTGACAGTTTTTTTTGTTTAAAAAATAAAAACTGTCATAACATTAAAAAAATCTGTTATCACTACTAAGTCATTCTAGTAATTATATTCCCAAAAACAAATCTGTCACTTGATGACAGATATTTTTATGAAAATTAAAAGTCTGAGGCCACTAGGAACATAAATCTGCCACTAATTTTAATAAATCTGTCAAAGTGATGAAAGTCTGTGGTGTCATCAAAAAAATAAGTCTGTAGTAGGGTAAAAAACTACAACAAAATAAATATCTGTCACAACCTGTTAAATTAAGTCTGTTAGAAATAAAAAATCTGTCACATAAAATCTGTCGTTGATAAATAAGTCTGCCATTTAAAATAAACTAGGGGAGGTCCCCGCGCCCGGCGCGGGGTTGTATGTTGATTAAGACCAGAATTACTAATCAATATTTAGGGTTATCAAGTTAGGGATATTTATTGATTTAGTTTTGTCAAGAGTCTAATTTTTATAACGACATTAATATAGAATTATGGTAAAACGCTATAACTTTTGATATATATTATTAGTAATCAACAATTAATAGTATTTTTTAATCACAAACAATTTATTAGTGTTTATATCTTGATATATATAATAGAATTAAATATAAAAAATCTATATATTTAAACCAACAATATATTACTCCCTCTGTTTCATTATATTAGATGTTTTATGGATTTTATTTTGTTTCATATTATAAGATGTTTTACAAGTTTCAATGTTAATTTAAATGCATTTGACCATTTATGACTATTTATATTTTGCAGTCATTATTATGATTGGGTTTTTTTTTTTTTAACTAAATATAAATGATGTTTTTAAAAGAAAATAAAAGATCTAAATATGTGTGCATTTACCTTAAACCTCTTATATTTTGAAACAGAGGGAGTATTAAATTAAAGATTGTAGTCATAGATATGGAGACTAAACATCGATAATATTTACGATCTTGTAAAATTAAATATTATGTTAACTTGCAAATTCCTTCAATTTTTACAAAACATTGAAGTTTAAAGATTATGTTCATTTGGAAACTCCTTCCATTATCCCAAAGATATTGATGTCAAAACTCTTACGTTAATTTTGATATCACGCTCTTCTTCTCCAGATTATTTTAATAATTGTCCACTCGTCAAAGACTGTCTTCTTGGGGGCAAATTCAATTTGATGAGTGTTGTCTTTGCACTATTGCAACAAAGTCTCGGGATCACCTCCTGCTCCTCTGTGAGCTCTTCCGAGGTGTGGAATTTGGTTTTCCCTAGGCATTCTCCTCGACAAGGTTGTTTTGCTCTTGGACTGAGCTACTTTCTTGGACCTGACGCTCTTCTTCTCATGAGACATGTAAATAATTGTCCACTCGTCAAAGACTCGGTTCTTGGGGACAAATTCAATTCGATGAGCGTTGTCTTTGCACTTTTGCAACGGAGTCTCGTGATCACCTCCTGCTCCTCTGTGAACTCTTCCGAGGTGTGGAATTTTGTTTTCTCTAGGCATTCTCCTCGACAAAGGTTGTTTTGCCTTTGGACTGAGCTACTTTCTTGGATCCGACGCTCTTTCTCTCATGAGATTTAAATAATTGCCCACTTGTCAAAGACTCGCTTCTTGGGGACAAATTCAATTCGATGAGCGTTGTCTTTGCACTTTTGCAACGAAATCTCGGGATCAACTCCTGCTCCTTTGTGAGCTCTTCCCAAGTGTGAAATTTGATTTTCTCTAGGCTTTACTGAGTCTCGGGATCACCTCCTGCTTCTTTGTGAGCTCTTCCTAGGTATGGAATTTGGTTATCTCTAGGCTTTGTCCTCGATAAAGGTTGTTTTGCTCTGAAGATGAGCTACTTTCTTGGACCCGACGCTCTTCCTCTCAAGAGTCACTTAAATAATTGCCCACTTGTCAAAGGCTGGCTTTTGATGGCAAGTGTTGTCTTTGCACTTTTTCAACAGAGTATCGGGATCACCTCATGCTCTTCTGTGAGCTCTTTCCAGGTGTGGAATTTAGTTTTCGCTAGGCTTTATCCTCAACAAAGGTTGTTTTGCTCTTGGGTTGAGATACTTTCTTGGACCCGACGCTCTTTCTCTCCAGAGTTACTTAAATAATTGCCGACTCGTTAAAGACTGGCTTCTTGGAGACCAATTCAATCTGATGAGTGTTGTCTTTGCACTTTTGCAACGGAGTCTCGGAATCACCTCCTGCTTGTCTGTGAGCTCTTCCCAAGTGTGGAATTTAGTTTTCTCTAGGCTTTGTCCTCGACAAAGGTTATTTTGCTCTTGGGCTGTCCTACTTTCTTGGACCCGACACTCTTCCTCTTTAGAGTCACTTAAATAATTGCACACTCATCAAAGACTGGCTTCTTGAGGGCAAGTGTTGAATTTGCACTTTTGCAACGGAGTCTCGGTATCACCTCTTGATCCTCTGAGCTTTTCCCAGATGTGGAATTTGTTTTTTTCTAGGCTTAATCCTCGATAAAGGTTGTTTTGCTCTTGGACTGAGCTACTTTCTTAGACCGGACGCTCTTCCTCTTCTGAGACACTTAAATAAATCTCCACTCGTCAAAGTCTGGCTTTTTGGGGACAAATTCAATCTGATGGGTGTTATCTTTGCACTTTTGCAACGGAGTCTCAAGATCACCTCCTGCTCCTTTTCTGAGATAAGCTTAATAACTCATAAAATTTTCCGTGATATCCTTAGCACAAAACGACTCCGCATTCATGCAACTTTCGTCACACATACAGTTTAGCATCATTCGGATGCAATTTCACACAGTAGTAGCCATGAAACCATCTGAAACAATATCATAGAAACGTGATCTACTAATAATATTTAGAAATTATATATACATGAAAAGACAACAATATTCGAATACCTCGAGTGACTTCTAATCTAGCGAATCTCATTATAAATATGGTGATATTATCACGCGGTTTATTTACTCCATTCTCTCAAAAATTTACGACAATATCCACCATGTAGTAGACATTGTAGACATAAATTTATTATAAAAATAAGTTTTTAGGATAATACCCAAATTAAACTATAACAAATCTAATTTTGATTAAATAAATAACTTACAATTCATCTTCTAATTCCACATAAACTTGATCCCACACTTTATTTATTGGTTCTCCGTCTTCAATATTGCCAACACTCACGACACAACCAATCAACTATAATTATTTAAATTAATAGATCAAACCATAACAATGCAAAGAATAGAATATCCAAGCAAAATAAACATACCTAAAACTAAATATCAATTTTCCTAAAAGATGCGAACGCGAAGTAATCATCTATA